CACACACACACTCATAGTAATAATTAACCTTTACTTGTTGGGGAAAATCTGGCCAAGGTTTGTAAAACAAACACAAGAGTTGTATGCTGAATCATACTCTTTTTTAAAGTAATCCACATTTTCCAAAATATTTTAGATGTTTATATTTAAAAATGTTTTCCTTGAAAGATGATATTTTTGATGCTATTCATTTTGGGTTTAAAAAATTTTAGTTTATACTATTATTTAAAGCAAAGTCTCAATGTGTAGCCTTGTTCTGACCTAGAACTCACTGTTACCCAATCTCAGCTTCTCAAATGCTGTGATCACTGTGTATGCCACCACACCTGTCCTCAGTTAGCAGTTTGTTGTCTATACTCTCTGAGCAGACCAGTCTTGGCTTTGTTTCTTTACGAAAATGAATTTCATTGAGGATTTTCATTATGATTGAATTGGTTGAGTGCTTCTATAATTAAGTTACTGAGACTATACCAAGAGATGTTTAGAAAACTCTACCTCTGATATTTACAGCCTGACCAAATTGAGCTCAAAGAAGTAACTTTGCTCTTTGAAAGTTCTGCTGTTATTAAAGTTGCTTAAAGATATAATGGGGAAAGCTGGGCATGGTGGCATACACCTGTAATCCCAGCATTCTTGGACTGAGGCCATAGAAGCACAGTGAACTCAGGCATACAAAGACCCTGTCTCCAAAAAAAGCAAAAACCCTCCCCTAACCTCAGCACTCAAGAGGTGGAGACAGGAGGATTAGAAGTTGAAGGTGATCCTCAGCTACAAAGCAAGTTTGAGACCAGCCTAAGCCACATTAGACACTGCCTTAAAGGGTGAAGGTGAATTTTCCTTCTTGTTGTGTAGAACTAAGCTATTGCTTGTATCTTTCAAGAGAAATACTCACTTTAATTCTGTGCCCTAAAGAACATTGACCTGTAAATACCTTTTGAATGTTTAATAAAAATTTATGTATTGAAAGGCAAAATTATCTCTTGGACATATTTTGAATGTGACATATTCTACAGGCAGGCATCTCTTCTTAGAAAACTCATTCAGTTGACTTAGTACATTTTCTTTCAGCTGTTCTCCAGTCTGACTCATTTCCTATTCATGTGTGCCATGCATTCCACACAAGGGAATTATTGGTGTTCTAAAGAACATTATTTTACTTTTTTATTTATGTAATTGCTAGAGCTTGAACTCAGGGCCTTGAGTGTGTTTGGCTAGTGTTCTGCCTCTAAGCTATATATCCCCATCCTAGAACAGGTGCTTTTCATTTTTTTAGCAAATTCTTTTTCTTTCAGTCTGTAGAGATACTGCCCTCAATATTGTCAAAAGAAGCAGAAAGGCCTGCTTAAGTATTTCATCCATTGTGGGGTGCATGCTGTTAGGAAATGTGTTCACAGAATATTAACCAGACTTGAAACGGGTTTGGACACTTAGACTATAAAAGAAATAAGTGGACACTTATACTAGAAGAAATAAGTAAAGCAATGTGGAGTTTTTAGGGAGTAAGTTGTCTTGAGGCACTTGAAGTGGTGACTTGTAAGAGGGTCAAGAACTCAGAGTCAGTGAGTGGAAGACAGTAAGAGAACTCAGACTGCTAATAGCTTTCCAAGTAAACACTGAGTTAAAGCAGTATACCTTCTACTGTAAGAAGGTTGGTTCTGCTCTGTGAGGTTCCTAAGGTCCTGACCAACAGGAATATGTACATACCTTGTACTCTTAGAAAGCAGAGGCAAAGTTACATGATGCCACTTTGAAAAGTGCTTTGATTTAGCAGTATTTAATACAGACTCCATTTTACTTTTGCTTTAGCAAAAGAAAGTGAAGACAAGGAAAACCTTCCTAAAAGGACATCTTCTGGTGGCTTCAAATTTACTTTCTCCCATTCCCCCAGTGCTGCTAATGGAACAAACAGCACAAACAGTAAGTCTGTGGTGGCTCAGACAACACCGGCAAGTTCTAATGGGTCCTCTTCCAAAACTACAAACTTGGCTGCATCAGTAACAGCCACTAAGGTACGTGAAATAAGCACTACACACAAACTTTGCCTTTTCCATATGTAAAACTACTCTGTTTAATCAAGATGATTAGATAAAAATTTCAAAGAATGAAAAAGTTATGTTGTCCTCAGAACTTGACTCCCAACATCATTTGCAAACTCTTAAGTTCACCTTGCATATCACAGAAAGTTTAGGATAAACATTTTTTTTCTTCTGTTGTTAGGACTTTTTGGTCATTTTATTTAGCTAAAAGTCATAATATATGTGAGCATATTCTCCCTCCCTCCCCAAGCACCAGCCCTATATTGTGGCATTTAAGTTGGTTCCATTACCTCACTGGTCTATTAGTGTTACACTTTAAAATATTTTGTTGAATAAATTATTAATGGAATGTCTTTATCCACATTGTTAAAATCCTCTTCAAAGGTCTGTACCAGTTTTTGTTCCTGTGAGCAGTGTATGAGTATACCTGGTGCAGTATATCATTAACAGTGTTGTGAAAATTATTGTTAATCTCTTCACCAGTTGGGTAAGGGTATGTGTGTGATATCTCTTTCCCCAGTATGTATCTACTAACAGTAGTAAGGTTGAATTTGCTCTTCGGTGTTTTGTCTGTTCATAGTGCCTTATAAAATTGGTTTATATTTTTCTTAATTTGAATGATTTTTTTTCAGGTAAGAGTATTAGCCTTTCTATAAATTTCATAGCAAATGTATTTCTCATTGGTTTAATGTTATAAACAAGTTTATATTTTGAACTTCTTCATTTGTTACCTTTTTTAAACTTTCAAAGTTTTCATTATATGAAACCATCCTTTTCCCCCTAGAAAAGGCATAATTAGCTTTAAGAAGTATAAATACAGGACAATTGCTGGTATAAGGGTAGATGAACAAATATAAGGATATATTAACATAGTATAAAACCAAACTTGATTCAGTCTGAGCACTAACATTGTTTTAGTTAGGGTTTCTATTGCTGTGAAGAGACACCATGACCTTGGCAACTCTTATAAAGGAAGACATTTAACTGGGGTGGCTCCCTTACAGTTTGAGAGATTCAGTCCATTATCATGATGGGAAGCAAGAGATTCAGTCCATTATCATGATGGGAAGCATGGCAACATACAGGGAGATGTGGTACTGGAGTAGTTAGCTGAGAATCCTACATCTTGCAGGCAATAGGCAGTCAACTGAGACACTGGGTGTTATCCTGAGCGGAGGAAACCTCTCAAAGCCCACCCCCAAAGTGACACACTTCCTCCAACAATGCCATACCCACTCCAGCAAAACCACACATCCTAATAGTGCCACTCCCTATGAGATTATGGGGGCCTGTTACATTCAAACAACCACAGACATTTAAAAAATTAAAAATGAGCACTCGGAAGACAGAGGTAGTCGGACCTCTGTGAGTTCAAGGCCAGCCTGATGTACAGAGCGAGTTCCAGGAGAGCCAGGGATTCACAAAGAAACTCTGTCTCCAAAAAAAAAAAAAAAAAAAAATTAAAAAACAGCCAGCATGGTGGCAGGCTCCCTTAATCCCAGCACTCTACAGAAAGAGGCAGAAGCAGGTACATTTCTGTGCTTTTGAGGCCAACCTGGTCTACTTAGTGAGTTCTAAGTTAGCTAGAGATACATAGAGAGACCACTTAAAAATGAATAAGATAGGGCTGGAGAGATGGCTCAGCAGTTAAAAGCACTGGCTGTTCTTCCAGAGGTCCTGAGTTCAATTCCCAGCAACCACATGGTGGCTCACAACCATCCGTAATGAGATCTGGTTCCCTCTTCTGGCCTGCAAGCATGCATGTAGGCAGAACACTATACACATAATTAATTATTAATTAATTAATTAATCTTTAAAAATAAATAAGATAAAAACCATAAAGAAACTAAAGAGAATGCATGTTTTTTTTTCTTTTAAGTCTGAGTTTATTGTTTAACAGAAATATGTATGTAAGCTCTTGATTAAAGCTCCCATAAAGTTGTATCTTTGGTGAGATCAAGCATTTTCTTTTTTCTATTTTTCCTTTTTGTTTTTCAAGACAGGGTTTCTCTGTGTAGCTCTAGATATCCTGGAACTTGCTCTGTAGACCAGGCTGGCCTTGAATTCACAGAGATCCTCCTATCTCTGCCTCCCAGGTGCTGAGATTAAAGGAATGTATCACCCCACTGCCTGACTACATTCTGTGTTTTCTTCTCACTAAATAACCTAGCATTTAACAGTCTCATAATCTCAGCACTTTGACCAGTTTTCCATTCTGGTTTGCAGCTTGGTTTTTTACAGTGTGTGATATCTGATCAATGGGGTAGATAGCATGGCAAATGCCTGTGGGTTTTGTGGTTTTTTTTTTTTGGAGGGGGGCATCTTAGAAGCCTCACCACTCATAAGGAATGTAGTTCAACCCTGCTACTGGGACCCCTCCTCAACCATTGCCCTAAACCTCCATATCTCCTCTCTGTCTTAGACTGTATCTCTCCTAGAACCCAGCTCTCTGTACTCTTTCTTGACTTAATGCTTCATTTTTATGTAGTATATCATGAGAGGTAAAACATGAGACCATACAGGTATGAAAATGTTATTGTTCTAGCCTTCTTGATTGACAGTTGGAATACAGTAAAGAACCAGAAATGACAGGCCTCTCTAAGGTCGAAGCTTACTGCTGTAAAGAAATTCAAAGACATTTCTTATTCCTCAGCTCTTTTATCTTTTTCCTAAAAACATTGTGGGTTTTAGTCTTATTCTGAAATTAAACATTTATTCTTCAGTTTTAGAACATTTTCTATTCTTTTTTTATTGGATGATGTTTTCTGATTGATTAGCTGAGCTACTAATTAGCCAGCTGCTTTCTTGAGTTTAATTTCTTATCTTCCAGATAATTTTTTTCAGTAACATGAAAGTACAAATGTACTTTTTACCTCATTGATGCCAAAATATATTTGTCCTACATCTTCTGGAGCAATAGATAAAACTAGTGATATTCTTAGAAAGCAAAGACTCTCATCAGTATAGAGTTTCACACCAAAAATTGATGCATACAGAAGTAAATTTAATTAGTTCACAAACTTATAACAAATTATGGCCATATTTCTAAATAGTAGCTGATTCTTCATCAGTAGTGGCCTCTAGTTTTAGAATCGGTGTTAATTGCTACTGTTGAAGGCTGCAAAGGTATCAGCTACTAGTGAAATTAATATGAATGCTATAAAAACAATGTATTTCCATTGTTTAGTATAAAACATCCCATTTCTATGGGAAAGAATGTTTACAGAATCAGTTGAAAGCAGGTATAGTGAAGCATGCCTATAAGTCAAGCACTCTGGAGGCCAAGGTATAAAAAGCTCTGAGTTGGAATCTAACCTGGGATACTATTGCAAAATCCTGTCTCAAAACAACAAAACCAGACTGAGAAACTATTGGTAGATGCTAAAACAAACACTACTTCTGCTATAGAATAAAGAAGGACACCCTATATATTACTTTTAGTAAGCTTTCCAAGTCAGAATGTTTAAAAAGACTGCGGGTAGAATTTAAAAAGATGAATAACTAACCCCTGTTACTGAGAATTACCACAGTTTCTTGCAGTTATAAGCATCATAGCAAAGTGAACTTTACATATATCATTTCTGATTGTACATTTGTCTGCAATAGAATTTGCATTACCCTATTTCCAAGTGCAAATACTCAATAAAATAGGAACAAATGGATAATTTCTTAACATACTGTCTAACACCAAAAGTTAGTTTTGTACTTAGGAAATATTAGGGATATTCCCACTTAATCAGGAACAAGACAGAATGTTGCTGTCACTACTATTATTTAACCATGATTGTAAGGTATTAGTGCATTTCCTGAAACAACCAAAACTATTACTGTATAATTTCTTATTATATGGTAAAATGTGCTTGTATACTTCAAACTATAATTGGTTATAATTTACTCCTTTGCAGGGAGAAAAAAAGATCATCCTCTTTTACAGTTAATTTAGTTATTTTTTTTTTTTTTTGATCCTTTACTCCTTATGTGCCTGGTGGTTATTGGATTTTCTTTCATATAAACAAAACAAAACAAAAACTAACCAGGCATGGTTGCACATGCCTGTAATCCCAGCAGTTGGGAATCTGTGGCAACCATGTTCCAGCTTTGAAGATAGTGTGTGCTGTATGCTGAGTTCCCATCTGCATGACAAGCTCGTCTCAAAACAAGAAAACACCCTAGAAGCTATGATTACCTGCCTCTGCAGTCCAAGCTATTTAGGAGGCTGCCAGGCAGAAGTATCATGAGTCATGAAGGTCTCAGGAATTGGGGCAGGGGTAAGGTGAGGTGGGGAGTACTACAGAGGAGGAAGAATGGCAGGTTTTAAAAAAGGTGTGAGATAGTTCAATAAGAAAAATTGTTTTCAGGGCTGGAGGGCTCAGCAGTTAAAAATAGGACCCAGGGTCAATTTCTAGTACCCATATGTCAGCTCACAACTGACTGTAACTCCAATTCCAGGGTATCTGACACCTTCACACAGATAAACATGCAGGCAAAACACCAATGCACAGAAAATAAAAATAAATCACCAGGCGTGGTGGTTTATGCCTTTAACCCCAGCACTTAGGAGGCAAAGGCAGGCAGATCCCTGAGTTTGAGGCCAGCCTAGTTTACAAAGCAAGTTCCAGGACAGCTAGGGCTGGCTGTTACACAGAGAAACCCTGTCTCAAAATAACAAAAATAAATAAATTTTATTAGAAAAAAGAAAAATTCTTTTCAACAAATACTACATATTGGTTAACCACATGCAAGAAAGATACTCAACTCCTAACTCACTTAATACAAACTTAAAAGACCTAAACATAAATACAGAGATCTCAGAAAACAGGAATAAACAGCCATGACCTTAAATTAGGTAGTTATATATAATACCCAAAGCATATATGACAAAAGAAAAAAAGATGGCATCATGATCAGAAATTACACTGGTATTAAGTAAAAAGGATAGACCACCACATGAGTTGCAAAGCCTATAAGAAGTTGGATCCAGAGCATATCAAGGACTTTTACCAGTAATCAAACTCCAAAGGACATACACAGACATTTCTCCAAAGGAAATAAATATACAAATAACCTAAATAAGCACATGAGAAAATGTTTGGCATCATTACTGAGACAAATAAAAAAAGCACAGCAAAGAGCTGAAGGGATGGTTCATAGGTAAAGCGCTTGCTGTGAGAAAGAAGGTCTGGGTTCAGAATCCCAGGAACCCACACAAGGTGCCTTTGTTATGCCAGCATTCCCACTGCAATGGGAGGAGCCATGAGAATCCCCAGAAAAGATGATCCATGAGCAAAGGCTTGCTGTGAAAGCATGAAGATGATCCAGCTTCAGAATCCCAGGGACTCATAAAAGGTGCCCTTGGTTATTCCAGCATTCCCACTGCAAGATGGGAGGAGCCATGAAAATCCCCACAAGCTTCAGATCAGCTAGCATGGCATATGCAACAGCAGGCCACAGTCTCTGATATAAAACAAGATAGAATGTGAAGATCAACACCCAAGGTTGTCTTCTGCTCCCTTTACTACACACTGCACATGCCCCATGGCAGAAATGCTTATACTCATACACATTCCCCAAAGATTTTTTAAGTAACACAATAAGCAATTCACACCCACTAGAATGGCTATATTTTTTTTTTAATGGACAAATGTTGGCTAGAATACAGAGAAATTGCAATCCATATTCATTGCTGATGGGGAGGTAACATGAAATAGCAGCTTTGGAAGACAGACTAGTAGGCCCAATTCCCACTCTCCCAAAGCTAAACACATTAACTATAGGACCCAGCAAGCTATTCGATTCCTACAGAAAAGTTGAAACAAGCTGTTGTGTGTGAGCAGCATTCTGAAAACTGAAGTAGGATTGTGAGTTAAAGACCATCATGGACTACATAGCAATCCTGTCTCAGAGAAACACTGAAAACATGTTGACTCTAAAATTAGTATGTGATTGTTGACATTATTATTCATAATGGCAAAAAAAAAAAAAAAAAAGTGGGACAACACAAATGACTGCCAACTCATGAATTGGGCCAATAGTGCTATTAGCCAGAAAAAGAAATGAAACAGTAATAAGTGCTACGACATAGACTAGCAGTCCGTACAATGTATTACATGTTACATGAATTGCTGGGAATAAATCCTTCAGGGGTTGGGGGTGGAAGGCAAGTAGATCAGTGGTTGCTTGTACCCTGGAAAGAAGGAGCTATGGGGAATGGCAGTTAATGGGTTAGGGACATTACTGGGGAGGAAGGTTGAAGATGTTACAATTTAGGAGGGATAGCTGTATAACATTGTGACACTAAGAACACTGAATTGTACGCTTGAGAGGGGTCACTCTACTGTGGATTTAAAGCAGTGATTTGCTTTAGACAGAGGAGCTTGCTTAGCTTAGTTCTTTCCCACTCAGCACCAGGACCCCACCTACTCCCACCACCACCCTTCACTGACCTCACCATGGTGTTCATTTTTACAGCATAACTCTTACATCTGGGAAGTGTAGGCTTTGTGTTCTGAGAGAAGGCTTGGAGTTATGGGGAGCTGGTATTCAGAGTTTAAATTTTCCAATTTTTCAGTCTGTTACTCTTTGCCTTAAGTACCAGATTTTTTGGAATTCATATTTCCTATAATTTCATAGCAACAGGAAAGGATTTCCTGGCTATCAAGAGACTGAATCTGTTTGGCCAGCTTGTCTTCCTCTTTTCCTCAGTGTTGTGATGTTTTTATTGCCTGCTCTGGTCTGGAGTCTTGGGATAAATCAGTTCCATTTGCATTTCTTTTTCCCCTTGTATATGTTTAGTTCTTGTTTCTTCCAGTTATGCAAGTTACCTTGCCTCTAGTTTTTCTATTAAAAAAAAAATGAATTGGGAACTTTCTTCTTTCTTCTCATTTTCTATGTAGAGCTGTATCTTTTAAATTTACTTTCATTTTAGATAATTTAAGGACATAGTAAATGATTATAAGACTTCCAGGAGCTTTAGTCACTGAACTCTCCTATACAAATGTAACAGCATTGAAACCCGAAATCAGACAATGAAATCAGTATGTCCTAACATTTAAGCCTTATACCTCTTTTTTTGTTTTTTGGTTTTTTGTTTTTTTTGTTTTTTTGTTTTTTGAGACAGGGTTTCTCCATGTAGTTTTGGAGCCTGTTCTAGATCTCACTCTGTAGACGAGGCTGGCCTCGAACTCATAGGTTCTACCTCCCAAGTGCTGGGATTAAAGGCGTGTGCCACTGCCGCCCAACCCTCTTTCTAATTCAAACTTAAGATGTATGATTTAGCTAAGCCAGAATTAGGAATTTTCTAAATAATGCCTTCTTTAGTTCATAGACTGATAACTGCTTCTAGATGCTCAGAGTCCTTCTGACTGATATTACAGTGTTTCACTTATTCTTTGTTACTTTCAGGTATTTGTGTTTACATATGGAGCCACTTATGAAGGACAAGTTACTTTGATTGATTTGTTTAGCTTTGAGAGGTACAAAGGGTTTGAACTCAACAGTATTAGTAACCTCTTAACCTGTAGGTCATGCATAAGTTTCATAGAATCGGTCCAAAATGAGTGCAATCCTGAAAATGCCTGCCGTGTTTTGCAGAGTGCCCAAACCCTGAAATATACCTCATCCTTATTTTTAGCCATTAGCTTTTCGAAACCATTTCTTGTTTCTATTATCTATCTTCAGCCATTTAAATTGTTCCTTAAAAAGTCGGTGGTAGCGCATGACTTTAATAACAGTACTCGGAGGCAGAGGCAGGGGGAGGGAATCTCTGAGTTTGAGGCCAGCCTGGTCTACTGAGTGAGTTTCAGGACAGTCAGAACTGTTACACAGAGGAATGCTGTCTGGGGTGGGGGTAGGGATTATTCAATAGAATGAAAAAAAAATAATATATACTTTATAATGAAATAAACTTACGTAAAAACTAGAGACTTCTCAGATGAAGTGAGAGAAATGAACTAGTTTATGTCCAAGGTGCCTTTCATTTTTTTTCCAGGTGTTGTTGGTCCTACTGTTTGAAGTAGGGGGAAAGTCATTTTCCTAATGACATTTTGTTAAAGTGAATTCTGAAGGTTCATGAAAAAGCCAAGAAACAGCAGAACAGCTGAGGGTGGGACTGCCACCAGCAGTTCCTCTCTTCCATTCAGATGTCTAATATCAGATATGCTAATTAGAAAAATGCCTTTTAATCTCTCTTACTGACTATATTTGTACCATGCCGTTTTTCATGCTAATTTGGTTTTTTTTTTAAGGTTACATGTGTTAAGGCATGTTTTTCATTCTTCAATAGGGGAGTTTGGTTGGCTTAGTGGACTATCCAGATGATGAAGAGGAAGATGAGGAAGAAGAATCATCCCCCAGGAAAAGACCTCGACTTGGCTCATAGAATACTTGCTGGGAGACTCCCAACACATGATGTTACTAAAACGCTGCAGCTGCTCACTGAGCTCAAGTCTGACTTGGAAAGCTTTCTCATGGAACTCAACACACACACGGAGTAGCAGAGACTCAGTTATCAGATAGGAAAGTGTAGTTGTTTAAGAAAAACCAGGCTCCCTGAGAACTTAATTGTTTCCTACTGATTAAACAGTTTGCCTTTTGGGCTGTCCAAAATCAGAAGAGGAAGAAGAAGAAGAAATGATTGTTGGAGCCTGGGTGAATGAAAGCTTCCCAGCAAGTAAAGTCTCAGGTTTGGGGGAGGAAGGGTTGTTAATGCAGGGTTGCTTCAGGGGATCCAACCTATAGAACATTGTGAGACTTCAGTACCCAATAACATTGCTTGTATAATGGTGCTGGCCATGTTGTTGTTTTAATCAGCTGCCTCTTTTTAAAAGAACTTTTTTATGTAAAACAAATTGAACTGTCATTAGAAATGAAGTTACGTTGTTGGGACCATTTCTTTAAAGATTTCACAGAAGTCAGCCTTTGGTGTTTGACAGGACATATACCCTAGGTAACAGCACATACCAATTTCTCTACACCAGAGACTTCTAGTACATAAAAACAAAAACAAAAACAAGCTGGGTTCCAAATGGATAGTTAGCACTTTTAGAGGTAACAGCAGTATTCTGAAATGGTCCTCTTCAAAACTCAGGAGTAGCTAGAAGAGGGTGTTCCCAGTACTCCCCCAGTACAGTCTTTCTGCTTTCTCAGTAAAGTTAGGTCTGGGTCTTCTGGGGCTGCTGACAAATTTATAGAGACCAATAAAGAATGGTGCTGAATTAAGAGGCATTTACTATCTAGAAGCCATTTTATCCTAGAGTCATGCAGCATAGCACGGGAAGCTTTTCCACAGACAAGGATGTAACATGAAAGCTGCTTTTTTAAGAGAGTAAAAAGCACATTCCATGTACGTAAATGAATTTAAAATAATTGAGGCAAACTATTAAGAGCTTTTATTTTTAGAACAGCAAGTTAATTGTAAATATTTTAATGTTAGTTTGCTCATCTATGATCTGAGATCATTGCTGAGATGAGAAAAATGACCCCAAACTACAATTTAATGCATTGGGAAAAATAAAAATAAAAATAAAAATTCCAGCTCCAGTCTTTCAATCAGCTCTGTAATGTGTTGTGGGTCCATTTTTCCTGGAATAGCTTAAAAGCAGTTTCCTGTGTTGGAGATTTTGGAGTTAATTTTAATTTTGGCTATTGTTTGGAAAAGATGGGCTGTCTGTGTAGATATGAAGTATAGTTTTTCCATAAAACAGATGTTTATTTTGTATTAAAAATACCACTGTACTTGTTTTACACCATTTGTATACATGTGGTGATATTAATGTAAAATTTGAGAATTAAAATGTGACCCTGTAATTCCATAATTGAGACTTGTGTTTGTTTTGTTGTAAATATAAGTAAATTCTATTTTTGAGATATGTCCAATTTACATTATCTTTTAAAAGCTTATAAAATCCATAAAGACTTGTTATAAACCACTAGATCAGAAAGTCTTAAAAGCAAGAGTCAACCATAAATATTGCTTACAGGAGGTAAACGTTGGTCAAACATAACATCAGAGTACCACAGCATGAAGCCATTCTGACCTCTAAACAAAGGTGCACATACAGCAAGCCTCCATATCATAAGTGACCTGTGATACCTTCAACTAGCATCATTGACTTATATGATAGGCATTCTTCCAAGCAGGTGTTATCAAGCCTTTTCCATCAGAGCACTTAGATTGCTTAGAATCTAAGCAGCCCTGACCTTTATAACTGTTCTGTTCCTATATAACTTCAAGTTCAAAGTGTCATCTCTGTACCTTATAAAGACTCCTTCGATTTTCCTTTCTGAGAAACTTCAAACTTTTAAGTCATTATTATGGGAAAGTGTTTCTTATAGCAGAAATGAATGTTTTCTTAAAATACAAGGGCAACAGTTGTGTAATACATATGCTCACCTTCAAGATGAATGGATCCTTGGAAGGCACAACTAGGAAGATTCCACATTAGCCTCTGTCCTAAGTGACGACCCTGATGCAGGCTGGGGTGCATTATGTCCACTCAGTTCAAGTCAGAGCACACATGTGTATGCCTTAGGTCCTAAAAATACCTGTAAACATGTACCTAATAAAAAGCTATTTTTAATAAAAAGTTGTGTGAAACTGATGTGTTTTCATCACTGGTTTTTCTGAAGTTTGAAGGTTGGAGCTTAAAGTATAATTTTAGATTCAAGCAGATAAGATGAAATTTCAGAAAAACCCCAGTTGAGGCCAGCAAGATTGCTAAGTGGGTAAAGGAATTTGCTGCCAAGCCTGTTTGATCCCTGGAACTCAACACAGTACAAATTGCCCCCTGACCTCCACAGGCACAATGGCATATGCATGCCCATATAAATACAAAATGTCTGTTTAAAAAAAAAAAAAGAATGTTCAGTAACTAGAAAAAGGTGGGTATAAATTGTAACTAAGTTTTGGAAAGCAAGATCATTCTGATTACCTTTAAGCAAAGAGACTAGAATTTTTTCCAGGGCCTTAGAAAGACCAAATGGTAAGTAGCATTTTCCTCAACAGGTTTAGTCCGTCAGTTGATCCTTTTGTCTGTTTTCATTGCAACATTTATAGAAAAGGTTATAATTCTCCCACATTTATTTTACAAGGCTTGTTTGTCCTTTAAATATAAAGCTCTCTTACCTTTGTCCAAGATACTGCCTTTGGATTGCATCATACTGGGTAAACCTAAAACCACAGTAGTTCACCTGTCTTGCTGCAGCAGCCACACCTTTAAAAATGGAAGTTTCCAATTCCCCACAAGGCTTTCCACATTACTCTAACCTGCTGTCTGTCACCTTTCATATGCTAGCCCTCCTATTCACACATGTTCTGGTTCAGCTTCAAGGCATGTGTTTCTAAATTACTGTATACCCTCTTTTCTGTAAACACCTGATCAGTTGACAGCTTACTTGCCCAAGGCAGCACAGCCAGCCTGCCATGTTATCACTGCACTTTACCCTTTTAATACTGCTCTTTGGGCCTTCGATAGCCCCATGAAAGCAAGAACCCTGTCTGTCAGTCTGGTTGACGACTATGTGTATCATGCTTAGCACAAACAGTGTCTAGTAAGGACGAATGAAAGCATGCACTATCAACTAATTTCTTTCTGTAGCCCCTTTTGAAGAGAAAACATTCAAATTCTTTTTATTTATTTATTTGTTTATTTTGGTTAGGATAGGTTCATGTAACCTAGGCTGGCCTCCAGTTTGCTTTGTTACTGAGAATGACCTTGAACTCCTGACCCTCCTGTTCAGCGTCCTGGGTGCTAGGATTATAGGCACATACCACCATAACCTGGCTCTATGCAGGAATTTCTGTTAAACTGCCTTCCCTCTTACCCTTTACCTGTTTAAAATAATAATAATGAGTTTATAATTGCATTTAGAAAAGCAGGTATTTGCTTAAAACTAACAGTCTTTGTTTAAGGATTAAATAATTTATTTTTAAGAAAACTTGGACTTCTGTTTCGCTAACTCTTCATATTACTTATTAATAACTTCTTCTTTAAGTTTCTCTGCAAGCAATCGCCTCTTTAGTAATGTTTGTTTCTCCTCTGCTGTCATTTCTGGCTTCTCTGTCATTTCCTTAAAAAAAAAAAAAAGACAAAAAATTTGGCTACAATTAAAAATTAGCTTCATATGTCTAAAATTCTTAACATTACTTCAAAAGAACAAAAATTAAGGGCATTTTCAGTAAAACTTAAAAGTCAATGACCAAGTTTCTTAGATCTCTTCTTGGAGAAGCACTGGGAAGCATGGGGTATGGACAGAACATTGCAAACATTTGAAATGGCTAAGGTAAGACAGACCACTGACCCTAAGGAACTCAGCATGGGAAGTCAACAAAAATGTATAATGAGATGATTATTTCTACCTCACAGAATTCTCATCTAAACTCTCCTGAGAGATTTAGCAGTTGTCACACTAGCAGATGGTTAATTTGAGTGGGTCAACCAACAAAATTCATTGGAGACTTTCTTGCACAAACTAAAAACTCTTCCCCTGGACTGCACAATCAACACCTTAACCCTAGCCATACCTCCACCTCCCTGGTAGGCTTTCCTTTTTGCTCAGTATTCTGGATCTGTTTTGCTCTCATGTCCTTTCTCATGGACATCAGTTTATCTCTCTTCTGCTTGAGATAATGCTCTCGTTGCCGTAACTCTTCTGTTCCAAGTGCTGACAAATTCTGGTTCAGATAAGAGAAAGAACTGTCTGTATTCAAGTCCACACAACAAGTGGCAAAGACATCTACTGGATCAGTTTTAAGTTACAAGATCTAACAAAGACAAGTGTATAGCTCTGTATGGCCTTGCTTATAGTAAGTTAGCTTTTACTTACTGCTATTGGTCCTTCCATGCTTGAATGTTCTAAACCAGGAATCTTCAGACCTTTTTGTGGGAGGGAGGAAGTTTCAGGCAACAGCTCCATCTTTCTTGCCAAGGGTTGTACTGACTGATTAGCAAAATGCACTTTAACTTCTGGCAGTAAATAGTGAGACCAATTAAGATATTGTAACTTAAAGAACCACACTATTATGGAAAACATAGACACTTCCTAATTGAAACATCACATAAATACATCACAAATAACATCTTTGGTTTCCAAACTTGCTTCTAAGCATGTGACTGTACACTTAACAAAACTGATTTTCTGTCTTACAACATTAGTTGTCAACAGCAATGACTTGTTTTCGATTACATACTGAAAATAACTTAGTGCATACCAATGCACTAAGAAAATGTAACCATTTCTAAAGCAAAGAGAAACTTAAAAGCACATGTAATATAAGCATTCAGTACTTCAATAACTGTGCCATAAGGTATTAACATTCTAATTGCTTCTATAGTCTATTTTCTATAAGAAAATTAAGTAATTGTTTTTTTTGAAGCCTAGCAAGATAACTCAAAGTTAAATCTCTGGCCACCAAGTATGATGACATATATGAGTTTGATCCCAGGACCCACATGGAGGAAGGACAGAACCAACTCCTGCAAGTTGTTTTTGACCACATGCACACAGTACAGAGTGGCACATATATACATACACAGGTCTCTCAGCCTCTTAGTCTCTTGTGTATATACACACACAAGTAAATCATCGTTTTTTGAGGGGGTGGGGTTTAGGAGATGGTTCTGTGGGAAAAGAGGTGTGAGAGAATGAGAACCCTATTTTGAATCTCCCCCCCCCCACACACACACACACTCATTTTAAAAAGCTAATCTTGGCAGAGGACATCAACCCCAGAGACAAATGGATCTCAGAGGCTTGCTGGCCAGTCAGCCTCGCCAATCAGTTCTAGGATCAATGAAGAGACCCTATCTCAAACAATAAAGTGGAGAGCAACAGAGAAAGACACTTGACCTCAACCTCTGACCTCTAATGCTCATCCACGAGTATTCACATATATGCACACAGACATACATAGGCCACACATGCACAACAAAAAATAAAAGATGAAAACATTTTTAATTTAAGTACATGGGCTATGAAAACAGTGAGACATGGAAAGACATACATTAAAATGATAGAAGTAAAATGAAAGACCATGGTACACATCTCAAAGGATTAATAATCCTGCCAGGTGTGTATAACCAGAAAAGGATCACTGGTGTAATAATACACAGTAGCCTGAGTGCACTGCCAGGGAGACTAGAGGAAACCTTTTGCAGGCCTCCATGAAAAGACAAGCTAGAGCAGCACTTCCAAACAGTCTAGGCAGAGGCCACAGAACCTATGAGATGAAACAAGTTGTTGCTAATATTCAGGTTATATTAGAACAGCCATTCTTACTAGAGATTATTTTACTAGAAGTAGTATTGGCACCTTAAACATGGAGCCACAGAATTGGAGAAGGAAGGAGCTCACACACGTAAGCATCTCTATTCAACTCATGCACTTACTCAGCTTTGAATGTGTTAGATATGGACACACACTTTCCCAAGCTTCAAAGAGGAAAGTAGTAAAGCCAAAACACCGTTAGCTTTCCTGATTTTTAAAGAAAGGATTAGAAAGCCTGACGAAACATCTCTGGCAACTCCATCAGAGAACAGATGCTACTATTTTAGTAGGAACCAAGAGAAGACGGGAACAAAAGGGCAAAAGATACAAACCAAACACCTTGATTCTTTTAGAAGTAAGACTTCTTACTAGGGTCCCAACATTCTACATGAAGTGATCCCAAAAATCAGACACTCCAATTTTAAAAAGCCCTGAGAAATTAAAAAACATTACTTTTGAAATTATCTGCTACTTGTCTTGCTATTGATGGTAAACTGTATTTTATGTGGTCTATGATGCAATTTTGTCTTTTGTTATTTTTATTTATTTAGAGACAGGATCTCACTATGTACTGTCTGGCCTAGAACTTACTATGTAGACCCCACTAGCCTCAAACTCTCAGAGATTGGCCTCCCTCTACCTGGAGAGTGCTGAGATTAAAGAAGTGCACCACACCAGTTTGTTTTATTTTTTTGAAACAGGGTGTCATGTAACCCAGACCGGTCATGAACTCTCCTATGGCCAAGGATGGCTTTGCCTCCACCTCCTGAGTGCTGGATTAAAGATACGTGTCACTGTCCACCTGAAGTTTTCACTTAGGTACTACCAAGCAATATTCAAATTATATCAGATACAAGCTCTAAACAATACATGGGAGTGTGCAGAAACCCAAAATTAAATCTGGGTCACACATTAAACACAGGAAACCTTGTATATATGATTCATATGAACTCATTTCAATTTAGGAACTAGATGAGAAAAAATGATCAGACATAATAAAAGTACAGAAGGGAACTTTTATAAATGTGTTTCTGTTCTATATCCCTGACCAGTTTTAACCAAGATTACAATTTCTTCAAAACCAATGAGTACTGTAAATAAACTAAGAAAAAGGGGAACTTTGACAATTGGACAAATGTCTACAATTCAAAAGCCAGATTAAAGGCCCCTGCCTGCAACCCCAGCACTCAGCAGGCTGAAGCAGTGGATCTCTGAGTTCAAGGCCAGCCAGTACAGAAGAAAATAGTATTTTTTTTTTTTTTTTTTTTTTTTTACTATTTTGCTATACTAGAGTCAGGAGGCACATTTCACTACTTAGGAGCTCAGAACACTTTTGAAGTTACTTTCTTGAATTTATTATTTGGAAAAAAAATGAAAGATAAGGAACATGATGTCTACCTCACATTCTTTATCTTTTCAATTGAGAAAAGATATGTGAAACCATAGAAACCTGTGAAAAAATAAAATGAAATCACGATCATGATTCAATTTCTGTTGCAGTTACCTGTTCTCCTATACAGTATAAGAAACTATTCAAGGTGGATGTGATACATACTGAACAAGTTCATCTGCTAGGATTTCGTTTAAGGACATAATAACTAAACATCTAGAGAAATTGGCTGTTCCTTATTTTCTAGTTTTAACTTAAGGTAATTTTTAAAAGTAATTTTCAATATTAACCCTCCAAGTTGAGCTTCCAGCTCACAAATACAAATGTTACTATATGCTATTGAAATTGTTTGTTACTCTCTGGGTTCCAAACTTCACTTAGAAATGTAGAAATGACATTCACTTTCAGCAGAGTATTTCTACCTGCAAACAAACTAAACTTGGAAAGAATTTTTAAGTTCCAAAGCCACTCAGTGTTCCAATGCTTTTGAGGGTTAAATGTGTTCTGGAGCAAACATACTCTCAGGGTTTATGCACTAAAGTGCAGTACACCTCAAGCTTACCTGAGGGTGGCTGTACAAAATGTTCACCATCCCCTTGGGAATTACTCAGTTTTGCAGCTTCAGTAGTATACACTGGTGGTTCTTCCATTTTAGCCTCTGATGACTTCAGGATTCCATAACACAATTTAAAAAAGGGAAAAAAATTAATGTTGACCAATCAATAGTTAAGGGATCCAAAGATGTTATTTAAAACATTACTATACACTCAACTAAATAATGAACAGGTTTTCCCAGAATTTTAAACATGTTAATAACATTTTATAGCTCCTAATTTTTTTCTTTCTTTATTACTTTTTATTTTTTGGTTTTTCAAGACAGGGTTTCTCTGTGTAAAAGCCCTGGCTGTCCTGGAACTCACTCTGTAGACCAGGCTAACCTCGAACGCACAGAGAACCTCCTGCCTCTGCCTCCCGAGTGCTGGGATTAAAGGTGTGTGCCACCATGCCCAGCTAGCTCCTACTTTATTATTATTATTATTATTACTATTATTTTACTTATTTTGATGTGTATTTTGCCTGCATGTATGTATGTACACTGCATGCATGCCTAGTGCCCACAGAGATTGGGAGCGGGCATCATAACCCCTGGAACTGGAGATTCGGACAGCTGTGAGACACTGTGTGAGTGCTGGAAACTGAACCTGGGTCCTCTGGAAGAATAGCAAGTACTCTTAACTGCTGAGCCATCTCTCCAGTTCCTATACCTCCTACTTTTTGAGGCAAGTAATATTCTGTTTCAAATAATGCAGTACTAATGATAACCAATGCAGTGGGAATTAAGATGTAGAAAGAACTATACTGAAAGCCATGGTTGCTATTTCAACATAATAAAGGGGTCAAAAAAACAAGGAAAGTAAAATTTTTCTCTTTTCTTTGAATACTGAAAACTAAGGGATTTATTTATTTGGTAGAGTGAACATAGATGAATGAGAAAGAACTCTGAACAGTCGAAGGAGCTTTGTGGTGGTCTCAATGAGAATGGCCCCCATAGGCTCCTGTCTGAATGCTTGGTTCCCACTTGGTGAACTGTTTAGGAAGAATTTGGAGGTGTGGCCTTGTTATGGAGGTGTGTCACTGGGTGGGGGAGGGGCTCTGAGGCTTCTGCCTGATGCCTAGGGATAAAATATAAGCTCGGCTACTGCTCCAGCACTGTGTCAATCTGCCTGCCTGCTGTCATGTTCCCCTCCATGATAGTTATGACTCTGAAACTGTAAACAAGGTCCCAATTAAATGCTCTTTTATAAGTTGCCTGGTTCATGGTGCCTCCTCGAAGCAATAGAGCAGTAATAAAGACTGTAACACAAATTCTAAATGGTCTTTTAATAAAAAATCCTGGTGCCAGATATTGGAGTAAATGCTGAAAGATAGCAAAGACGAAGGAAAAGGCCACTGCCACGTCTCACCTCTAGGACTCAGCCTGAAAAGCCTTTCTAGCCGAAAAGCTTTAGTTCCTGTCTCCTCACGCCTTATATACCTTTCTCCGCCAACCATATCACTTCCTTTTTAGTGCTGGGATTAAAGGCATGTGACTTCCAAGTATTGAGATTAACAGTGTGTGCACTGGGGTTCTTTCTGCAATGGGCAGTGTTAATGTAGAGGTGTGTAACTGGGTAAGTGACTGCTGAGTGCTCAGCCTGAAACGACATCTGTACCCACACTGCAACCCCACCCCAAGGCTCAAAGGGCCTCCTGGAAGGGGGGGGCAGAGAGGATGTAAGAACCAGAGGGTGGGAGGAGTGCTGCGGAGCCTGCCTCCAGACAGGACATGGCTGCTGCACCCCTGAACTCACAGCATCTGTGCCGCCTGTACAAGTCTTGCACAAAATCAAATCACTATTCCAGCATGCAGGAGGGAGAGGATGGGAGGCCCCAGCCCGAGCTGAGGAGCTACAGACAGTTAATGACTGCTAAGTGTCATTTCTCTTTTCCCAGTGGTGTAGAGATAAGGAGCCATGATTGAGAAAATAGCCCCACACCAATGCTCATGTAAACAACCCTAATTAAACTCAGTGGGTTATAAAACAGGCATGAAAGCAGGAGGGGGCTTCTTAGGAAGAGGCAATGGGGTGAATACAGTCAAAATACATTATATACATGGATGAAACTGTCAAATAAAAATAAGGAATTGTTAAAAAGAGGAGGATGGGAAGATGGCCCAGTTGGTAGTTACTGCCACATCACGTGGGGACCGGAGTGCTCAGATCCCTAGAACAGCACATATAAAAGCCAGTGGGCACGGCAGCTAACCTTTGATACCTGCAAACAAGATGGAGAGGGTATTCCCTGAGCAAACTGGCTAAGCAGCCAGATTAGCCAAAACAACAGAATCTGGATTCAGTAAGAGACCCTGCCTCTATAAAATGTGGAGAAATTGAGGGGCCACCTGACACTAACCTTGGGCGCGTGCGCACGTGCGCGTGCGCGCGCGCGCACGCGCACACACACACACACACACACACACACACGCACACGCACACGCACACGCACACACACGCATACATTCACACAAGGCACATCCAGTACCTGTTCCGACTAGAAGGAAAAGGTATTTTCCATCTTTTAAAAAAGGATAAAAAGTAAAATATAAATACTTTGACTTGCTAAGAGAATATGACTACTCTGAGGAGTTCTATAGAAACGTAAATGTTAACAGTAAAAGACAAGTGTAGACTCAGCAAGAACAGGGCGATGCCAACAGGATATACTTCTGCTGCATTTACGTCCTGCAAGCACCTGCTTTTTTCGTTTCCTTTCTTCCTCCTGGTCATATTCTTCTTTTGATTTTCTGAAATACAAGAAAGTTAAAAATAAATGTTTTGTTTTGTTTTTTGAGACAGGGTCTCATTATGTAGCCTTGGCTATCCTGGAACTCACTCTGTAGACCAGGCTGGCCTCCAACTCACAGAGATCAACCCTCTGCCTCCCAAGCACTGGGATTAAAGGTGTACACCACCCACCCAGCTAAAAAGTAAATTTCTTCATCATCAAAGAACAAATATGCAGCATGTTACCCTGACATTATTATAGTCTGGACAAGATGTTTCACCACAGAGACGTAGAACAATCATCTCTACAAACCTGCTCTACAGTCACCTGTAACAGGCAGCAAAATAGAGCTATTAATAGACTATATGGGTTTACCTAATGAACCCTAGTTGAACAACAATCAACAGATTTGAAATCCTAAACCTTTTTTTTTTTTTAAGTTAGCATACAAATGAGTGATCTAAACCCACATTTTAATGGCAAACTCCACAGGAAAGACACATTCTGGTCAGGAGTGGTGGGCAGATGCTTATAAATCCAATACTTGGAAGGTAGAGGCAGGAGGTTCAGGAATTTAAGGTCATCCTCAGCTACATAATGAATTCAAGGCCAGCCTGAACTATAGAAGATGCTGTTTCAAAAACAAAAACAAACTTTGAATCTCTCTGAAATGCTGTGGAATACTGCTTTTGTACACTGGTTTAATAAAATGCTGATTGGCCAGTAGCCAGGCAGGAAGTATAGGTGGGATAAGCAGAAAAGGAGAATTCTGGGAAGAGGAAGGCTTAGTCAGGAGACGCCAGCCTGCCATCTAGGGAGTAGCATGTAATGGCACACAGGTAAAGCCATGGAACACGTGGTGACATATAGATTAACAGAAATGGGCTGAGTTTAAGTATAAGAGCTAGTCAGTAGTTAGCCTGAGCTAATGACTGAGCAATTTTAATTAATATAAGCCTCTGTGTGTTTACTTGGGGGATGCGAGTAAGAGAGATTTGTACCAACCGCTAGCAGGCTGGGACACAGGAAATCTTCCGATTACATAGAAATGTTACCTCCTTCCTGACAGGACTGTTTTCCCTCATTCTGGCCTGTCCAGTGGCATCTGAGCTATCCTAATCAAGTTGTCCTGCTGCCTATCAATTTCTTTAAGCAGTTCAGAGTCAGTCTGACTAGGAAACAGCTGAGGCCAACTATCTTATATGTCCAAAGCTAAACTTTAGAAACTAAAAATCTAAAAGTACCAAAATTGGTTTGTGCTATGTCAGCCCCAGTGGGAAGAGCCTTAACCACCCTGATAAGAGTCAGGAACTAGCCACAGTAAGGGAAGAAGAAAGGTTGCAGGAGACACTTCTGGAAAGTTCCAGGGCAATCAGTCCAAATTACCAGTCCTCAACACAAATACCCTTCCCTTTGCACACATATGCCCCTGCCACAGGGCAGGATCTGGCAGTAAAGGGCTGTGTCCACCACCTACACTTCTGCCTCAGTCTCTACAACCACCCACATTCCCTAAAATTAGGCACTAAGCCTTGGAACTCCTGTCATAGTTTCCCACTAGGTCCATCTTTCTAAACAGTGACTACAGACTTCCTTTTCCTCTAAGTCAAGCACATTCTCACAGATTAAAAATTACATGCTACTATGGCTCCTCCCTTCCAAAGCTCCCACAGTAACCAGGAGTAATGGCTTCAAGCGGAAAATAATAGCTAACCTTTTTTTGGTTAAAGGGCGGCACACCTCATGCCAAGCATCTGGTTGAGATGGGAAGAAGTGATTGGCAAGATACTTACCTGAGATCAATACCTCCTACTGTCCTCCCTTGTAGGTTACCTGTCACTCCTCAGCTGGGCAGCTGGGGCAGATAGGTACAGATGCCCAGTCTCCAACTTTGCATGAGTGGCCTCTAATATTGAGACACAGCAGACAGGGAGAACTCTGCTCAGCTCAGGACACACTCTTCCCTTCCCTAATCTGTGGAGTCTATTGCAGCTTTTTTCCATTGGTGGCTAGTTCCTTCATCCTATGATAAAGGACGTGTGGGGTGAGGGGAGGGAAATCCTCTCAATTGGACTGATCCAGTATAAGTGATATGAAAATATTTTTCTACAATTAAATATAATACAAATTGGTCATCTAACAGGAAAATCCAAACTGCTCTAAAATAAACAGCTTTGCAAAGCACATCAACAGAATGCTCAAAAGGTCTTAAATTTGGTAATGTTTGGATTTCAGGTTTTCTGATTAGGGATGCTCAACCTATCTGTGATCTGTGCAAGTATTCCAAAATCTGAGACACTCCGGTCTTAAGCATTTGGATCAGGGATACTTTAGCTGTGTATACGTAGCTAAAAAATAAAAAAATAATTTTGTTAGTCCTGCTAGTTGGTCATATTTTCTAGTGAAAAGTTAATATCCATTCAGATCATATACAACACTACTAACATTTATTCAAAAGCAGTTGAAGCAGCTCACCTGAGGACCTCCCTCAGGATTTTCATCTCTTCCTGTTCAAGATCACTGACTACATCGGCGCCATCAGTTAAGCAGTCGGGTAACACACCTGTTCAAAACCAAACAGCACATGGAAGACCATCAACTCAACTGAAAACACTCACTTCTCACTGTTCTGGTTCATCAGGTATAAATTAGTTTACAACTTATGACTTAATTTTTTTTAAGCCTTATCTTTTTAATTATGTTCTGTTTTAACTTTCTCACATTTTAGGGACTAAGCCCCATAAAAACCAGTCACAATTTTAGCTAGAAGCATTTCACAGTAATAACTTGTATTGACTATCTAAAAAAAGAATGAGTGGGACAATGTGAAGCTCAGTGGTAGGACCTGTAACTAGCATGCACGAGCCCTGGGCTCAAGTCTCAGCACCAAAAAGAAAAGAAAAGCTGGAGTTATGGAACCATGGCTGTGCAGGTGAAGGCCCTTGCACCCAGCCTGATGACCTGAGTTTGAGTCCAGGGATCCACATAGTAGGAAGGAAACTCTAGAAGTTGTCTTTGACATCCACATGCACATCATGTCACTCATGCCCTATCTATCTATATATCTATCTATTACTATATATCTCTCACACAATTAATTAATTAAACAATTTAAAACAAAACTTGAAAGAAACTATCGAAATAAAAACAATAGATGTTATGGTCTTCCATTATCTCACATTATCTACTACTGATCTCACTGAGCCAGGGTTAATGAAATGCTTTTAAAGGTGAACTATAAGTGGGAAAGTTTACAAAACAAAATGGTGTTTTGTTAAAGGTCTCCATTTGAACTGCAATATTAGTGAAAGGGCCTGCTTACTATGTGCAATGATAGCATGTGCTGAACAGTGGGGGTATGAAGACCAATAACACTATCTCTGCCCTTGATGCATCTTTTCAGATATTGGCAATAGCTTTAAATCATGATTGTGCCAATTTCCACCCCTCACTCCCCCAACACAAATTCACAGGAAGAAATTTAACTGTTGGTTTAATTTACTTATATCTCCCTGATAAGGGAGGTTGGTAATGAGTGCTCTGTTCATGTCTATATTCTATAGCATTAGCAGAATGTACCTTTATTTTACCTTCCATTTCTTTATTCAAATGTGCAAAGTGGGATTCTGGATTAGCTTTAAAGTAGTTTTATTATTCTAATTCCCTTGATGCTAAACATTTTGGGCTAAACATTCTGTTGAGTTAATTGTAGTCATTTGTAAAGAACAAGCAGGAAGATGAATGCACCCTTCACCCATGAGAAGAGTTACACCTGTAAACACATCATCTGAAGTGTAATTTTGCTCAGTCAGAAGATATCAAATCATTCTCCTAGAAACTTTTCTAAGGAGAATTAAAAACAGGAACAACGCAACAGTATGAAATTCTTTCAAATTATCAAAATGCATTTTCTCCAAATTATTTGATCAGATACAAACAAGAATCAAGAAAGCCTTTGAATTTTTCTTACAAGAAATAAAATTCACCAGGTGGTGGTGGTGCATACCAGCACTCAGGAGGCAGAGGCAGGTGGATCTCTGAGTTCAATGCCAGCCTAGTCTACAGAGCAAGTTCCAGGACAGCCAGGGTTACAGGGAAACCCTGTCTCGGGAAAAAAAAAAAAGGGGGTGGGGTGGGGTGGTGGGGAAGGAAGGAAATTTCCAAACATCTTGCTTTGAGCACAATGTAAGTTCATAATTAAAGACTGCACTAAAAGTTTCAATGCATATGATAAATTTAACTTTAGACACAGGGCAAACTGCCCTATACTGTGTACTGACAGCAGTCATTATTCTATGTCATTCCTCTCTTCTCCAATAAATCCAAGTTCTGTGCAGTCATCCGGCAGCCATCACATAAAGGTCAGATGCTCCCTCCCCTCAGCAGAGTGGTACTTGATTGAGTCAAGCTATCACAATGATCTCATCCCCTTCCAGACAGTTTAAGAAAGGCCTGAGTGGAAGGCTCTTGGAGGGTTTGCACAAAATGTTATCTTGATAACAAAAAGAAAATCACACAGAAGGAAACATTCATTTCCTCACAAAACACTGAGTCTGCACTGGAAGCAGAAAAAAAGAAGCAGGGAATGTCAGAAATAAAAATGGCAAGTGTCAGCGGCCTTGAAGACATCACCGAGCCACTAGAGTAACCAATTCTGGGCCTGTCTCCCTCGGGAAGACTGCTCAATAGTTCTACATCAACTTGACACAAGCTAGAGTTATCTGAAAGGAAGGAACCTCAGTTGAGACGATGCCTCCATAAGGTACAGCTGTAGGGCAGTTTCTTAATTAGTGATTGATGGAGGAGGACCCAGCTCATTGTGGGTGGTGCCATCCCTGGGCTGGGTTCTAGAAAACAGGCTGAGCAAGCCACGGGAAGCAAGTCAGTAAGCAGTATTACTCCATGGCCTTTGCATCAGCTCCTGCCACTAGGTTCCTGCCCTGCTTGGGTTCCTGTCCTGACTTCCTTCAATGATGGACTATGATGCAGAAGTGTAAGCCTAGTAAACCCTTTCCTCCCCATGTTGCTTTGGTCATGGTGTTTCATCACAGCAACTGTAACCCTAACTAATAAAACACAGACTGTAATGTTTAACTGCTTATGTCATTTTCATTGGGGTATTCTATTACTGGCAATCTGAAGCATACAGCTTATATACAAGCTGCAGAAGTGTGTGTGTGTGTGTGTGTGTGTGTGTGTGTGTGTGTGTGTGTGTATAGATATGCCGCCAAACTGAAAAACTAGAGTCCGCTGGTCAAGCTCTCATTTCTTTTATCAAACCTTATCCTCTCAAAACAAGTTTTACAAACACAAAGCAATTATCTATCCCACAGACCAGATTAAAGCTAGTTTCAGGAATTTGAGAAGACTTTCCAGAATAAAGCACAGCAGTAAAACAAGAAAAAGAAGCTCTTCCAATTTTATCTACTTCAAAGGTAACCCATTGTATTGCGCTCTTCAGGGTCAGGGTGGTTTTCTGTCTTAACCACAGACAACTCTATGACCCACTGTAAAAAGCAGCTCAACTTTAAAGCACGGCTAAGCCAGTGGCTATTTAAAGAGTAAGGCTCAACTCACACAGACAATAAAAGATCTACAGCATTCTGATATTAGTCTCACAGCAACAGAAGCACTACTTGTTGGGGCTGGTAGGATGGCTCAGTGGGTAAAGGTGCTTGCCGCCAATCCTGATGACCTATGTTTGATTCCTAGGATCCACCCCAGAAAAGCCGTCTTCTGACCACATGTGCACCATGGCACATATGCACCCCCTCAAAATAAAAACAAGCCCTATTTATTGCACATTCCACACCCTTAAGGGTAAACAGCACAACTGAAATGCTGCTCCCATACCTTCGAGAAACAACCAAATGGCAAGTCTTGCTGCCAGATTAGTCAAGTACTGGTCCTTGTGGCCCAGGACCAGCAGCTCCAGCAACAGCTAGGAACCTGTCAAAGATGCAGGGGATCAGGTCCCACCCAAGACCCACTAGGGCATAAACTGGAGCCTGCCAGCTGACTCCAGTGCATACTGGAGTCTGAAAAACATTTCCTTCTAAGGTCTTAATTGTGACAAGCCAGAGGAGTAGTTCCCTGTCCTCAACAGTAACCATAGCCACTCAAAACACTAAACTAACACAATGGCCTGACAGAAAAGCAGGCCTCAAAAAACTAAAGCATCATTAAATTCTTGTCTTCTTCCATTGAAATGTCGCATGCCAAATTACTAAATTTACATCCTTAAATCTCTTACACTAGCCAAAGACTTTCAAATGTGAAATAATGCAGAAAAGGTAATTACATTTAAGACGGTTAGAATAATTATAAAACAAACAAACAAAAAAACCCAAACCCTGCACTTGGTACTCAGATTCCTAACTTCAACACTTTACCATTCCTCTCCTGGATTATTCGGATGGCTTGAAGCTGCATCTCAATGTTCTTCTGGACCATCATTGCTTTAAAGATAGTAAAATCCTCCGCTGCCAACACGGGCTGCAAAATGGCCTGTGGGAGGAAGTCTGCAGGTTAAATGAAGACTCAAGTTTGAAACTATTTGCCCCTCATTCAAATCACCATTTGCACTGAAAAGCAGCACATTAATTCATGCTGCATCAGTACCACGGTTAGAAGACTCAAGTGGACAATCTTAAGATAAAAAAACAGCGGGGTTTCACTACATAGCCCCAGCTGGCCTCAAACTCCTAATTCTCCTGCCTTAGCCTCCCAAGTGCTGGGTTGCAGGGTGTATAGCTATACCCTGCCAAGATTTTTTTAAAGCCTTTAAAATAGGGTTCTCAGAGCTAATTCACTCAACCCCTAGTCCCCCAGGGGTGAGACAGGCTGCCTCCTTTCCCAGCCAGTGTTAAATGGAAAACAACACAGCAGTCTGACTTGCTTTTCTACAGTTATCACCTCAGGATCTGGGCTTGTTTTCAGTGCAAATGGTACCTATCTGGTTTACATCCTATCTCCTGAAATTTATTTTGGGTTTAATAATTATTCAAGAACTATAAAACTGTCCCTTAATGAAAGTACCAAGTTAAGCCAGGTGGTGGTGGTGTACACCTTTAGTCCCAGGATCCAGGAGGCAGAGGTAACAGATCTCTGTGAGTTCAAGGCCTGTCAGGTCTACAGTGTGAGTTCCAGGACAGCCAGGGCTACACAGAGAAACCTTGTCTCAAAAGAAAAAAATTAAAAATTAAAAAAAAAAAACCCAAGAATGTACCAAGTTAAACTAACTGACAAAAAAATGGAGTCTTACAGGTAAAAAATTATATGTTAGAGACAGTTGGGAATTATGAAAAGTCAAAACCTAAAAGTATAATAAATGAAGACTGAAGTGGGACTGGAGCAGTGGCTCAGATGTTAAGAGCACTGTCCTTGCAAAGGACCCACATTCAATTCCCAGCACCCACATGGTGGCTCACAACCATCTCTGCAACTCTAGTCTTAGGGGATCTGATACCCTCTTCTTGCCTCTGAGGGCACCAGGCATACATGTGGTACACAGACACACAGGCAAAACACCCTTATTCATAAAATAAAAATAAATAAATGTTTAATATAATAAAGGTATCTACCATTAACATAACTATTTCACTAACTATTAGTAATGTTACATATAGCCAAGAACAAACCAATTTCCAATTAATTAGCAGAATAAGATTTGAAATGCATGGAAACCCAAAGGAAACACTCAGGTCTTATCTTACCAGAATTTAATTTCCAGCTCTATCTAAGATGAATGGAAAAGCTGGCCACACAAAACCATGCAGAGGTAACCAAGAGTGTGCTGTTTACTAGAAGGCAATGGCAATATTCTTACAAAGAACATCTTGACCAGAGCCTTCACCAAAGAATTCCACTTGAAAGGGATGAGCCCCTCCCCCAGCAACCAGCTCATACTCCAGATGTACAGCGGATCAAAAGGAAAGGCAAGAGCAGTTCTCAGTGACATCTACAGTGAGTGTGCTATACAGAAAAAGGTAGAGTACTTCCTTAAATTCTGTCTGGGTGATCAGGGGTCCCGGGGCAGCGGATGGCAAACATTAGCTTTGTACTGAAACAGTATGGGCAGCTTCTGTCTGAATCCCCTTTGGGGGTTATTCCACCACATAATAAGTCATGGGGCTTCCTGGCCTATTAATGACACTAAGTACTTTATCCTCACCAGCAAACCTTTAAAATGACATTGCTTCTCTGTTTTATTTTTGGCTTTTTGAGACAGGGTCTCACTCTGTAACCTATTGGCCTCAAACTCAATTGTAACCTCCTGAGACCGAGTATTGGGATTACAGGTGTGAGCCACAATACCCAACTATGGGCACTGCTATTTGTCAAACAAATTTTCTAGCAGCAAGTTCGAAATTGAACTTGTAATTGTGATCTTTGACCCCTCTTAATAAATCCAAGAAAGAATAATTATTAATAAAGCATATTCTTGAGCTCTGTTTCAGATATAAAAAATTACAATCTTTACAGGATGAGTGTCCACATACCTCCACAGATTCTTAAAACATTAAGGTTTCAGAAACATTGGCATATTAGAGAAGGAAAAGAGTCTTGATATCAAAAGCCTACCTCCAATATGACTATAGGAACCAGTAGCCCTGTGGCCCTGGATAGTATTTAATCCTCAGCATCAACAAAAATAACTCTAACATTTATATAATACTTCATGGAGTCTAAGATTCTAGAGATTAGTAAAATAGGCCATTTTTTTAATGTGTCACTTAGAAAAAACTACCAATTAAATAATAAGACTACCAATTACATAAAACATTCTTATTTTAAATGTTATGATATATTCTCTGGCTTCGAGAAATGGCTCAGCAGGTAAGAGGACCCAGACTCAATTCCAAACACCCACATAATGGCGTACAACCATCTGTAAGTCCAGTTCCAGTGGATCAACACCCTCTTCTGACATCTGCAGTCTCCACACATAAGGTACACAGACATACACACAAAATAAAAACTTTAAAAACCACTTTTGCTTCTGAATAAAACAAATATAGTAACAACTGTCTCACAGAGTATTAAATGAATTAAGTAAAATTTTATGATCTGAAAAGTAAATGTAAAAGTAATTGTTCTGTTCCTTTTTAAAGTTTTATTTTTATTATTTGTAATTATGTGTCTGTGTGTGAGTACAGGGATCCTTAAAGACTACAGAAGTAAGATCCCCCAGAGCTGGAACCACAGCTGGTTGTGAGCCACCTAATGGGAGTGCTGGGCACTGAATTCAGGTCTGAAAGAACAGGGTGTGCTCTTAACTGCTGAGCTACCTCTCCTGCCCCAGTGTTCTGGTTCTTTAAATACTTGGTGAAATTGATAAACTCTTGACCCAGCTAAGAAAAAGCCAGTCTGGGCTCTATAGTGAGTTTGAGGCCAGCCTAGACTACTCAAGACTCTATCTCAAGAAAACAAGCCAGGCGGTGGTGGCGCACGCCTTTAATCCCAGCACTTGGGAGGCAGAGGCAGGTGGATCTCTGTGAGTTCGAGGCCAGCTTGGGCTACAGAGTGAGTTCCAGGAAAGGCACAAACCCTGTCTTAAAAAACAAAAAAAGAAAGAAAGAAAGAAAGAAAGAAAGAAAGAAAGAAAGAAAGAAAGAAAGAAAGAAAGAAAGAAAGAAAGAAACCAAAAGTAAGCTAAATAAAAGTCAGTTATCATCATACTTAAGAACTCAGATGCTTTCCCATTATGATAAGATATAAAAATAAATAAAAGGGGTTGTCACTTATTGATCATAGAAAAGATAATGGAGACACACACAAACAACTCTGCCCACTAACTTGATGACCAGTTTGCCAAAACTCACACTGCGGTAATAAGGAATGACTAGATAAGTCTATTCATTACTAAAAGGTTAATCAGTGATTAATGACTGTACAAGACAGAAAATACAAAGTCAACATGGGTTTACAGGTAAAATCTACCTAACATTTGAGAGAGAAATTAGACTCCTTCTCTACAGTCTCTCCGAGAGTACTGAGGCAGAGAGAATACGTATTAACTCATTTCCTGAGGCCAATACTACCCTAATTCCAAAATCAGACAAAGACTTTAAAAGGAAAACTAAAGGAAGGTCAGAGATGCAAAAATGCCCAACAGAATTTTAGCAAATTTAGTTCAACAATGTATAAAAAGAATTACATAGCATAACAAACTGGAAATTTTTCCAATAATTCAAAGGGGATTCAGCATTTAAAAATAACTCACTATATCAGCTACCAACAGACTAGAGGCTACCATTTGACCCTATCAATAAACATAGAAAAGAGCCTTTGACAAAAATCTAATAAGCATTCACGTTTTAAAAACATAAAAAAAAAAAAAAAAAGCCAGGTGATCGTGGCGCACACCTTTAATCCCAGCACGTGAGGCACAGACAGGTGGATCTCTGTGAGTTCAAGGTCAGCCTGGTCTGCAGAGCAAGTTCTACACAGAGAAATCCTGTCTCAAAAAACAAACAAACATTTTTCAGCAAATGGGAATGAACAGGAATTTCCTCACCCTTGTAAAGATCATCTATTTTCAATTTTTTTAAAACGTATGTGTGTGTATGCCTGTGTAAGTTCATGTGTATCACACGCACACAGGTGCCTGTGGAGGCCCACAAGAAGATGGCTCATATCCCCTGCCGCTGGAGTTACAGACAGCTGTGAGCCACTCACTCTTTGTGAATGATATAGGAACCAAGCCTGGGTCCTCTGCAAAAGCAGTAAGTACTCTGAACTGCTGAGCTATCTCTCCAGGACCCAAGACAGCTATACAAGGGTTATTGGCGAATGCCTGTAACCCCAGCTCTTGGGAAGTACAGGCAGGACAATAAGGAGTTCAAGGCCAGTCTGGGCTACATAGTGGGTCTGAGATCAACCTAGGCTACTCAAGGGACAAGGATAAACAAAAACCACAGTTAAGGTCACACTTAAGAAACTAGAATCTTTCCCACTAAGATCAGCAATGAGGCCAAGATGACACCTCACAATTCCCACTCAACACAGTATACAAGTCCTAGCTAATGGAAGAAGTTGAGTTTTGGGTTTTGGGTTTTTTGTTTTGTTTTGTTTTACCAACTGGAAAGGAAATAAAAACTCCTTTTGCTTGGGGCTGGAGAGACGGCTCAGCAGTTAAGAGCACTTGCTGCTCTTCCAGAGGACCCAAGCTCAGTTTCCAGCATCCATCTATAACATCTGCAAACATCTGTAATCCAGCTCTAGGAGCTGGACACCTCAGCCTCTGAGTACACTTGAAGTGCACACATCCTCATGCAAAACACACACGCCTACACATAAAATAAAAAATTAAATCAAGGGCCTGGAGAGATGGCTCAGAGGTTAAGAGCACTGGCTGCTCTTCCAGAGGTCCTGAGTTCAATTCCCAGCAACCACATGGTGGCTCACAACCATCTACAGTGAGATCTGGTGCCCTCTTCTGGCATGCAGGCATACATGCAGGCAGAACACAGAACACTGTATACATAATAAATAAATAAAATCTTTAAAAAAAAAATTAAATCAAAAAGCTTTGTTCATAGATGACAACTGTAGAAAATATAAGGAAAAAAGTTATCTGTTTTGCAGTGTACCAACGATGAACAATTAGAATTTGAATTTCAAAACAGTAGCATTCATATTAACAACACAGAAAAGAAATGTGAAGAAACTAAACAGAATTATCGATATCAGGGCTTCTCAAACTTTCTCTACTTGCAAACTCTTTTCTTTTTTTTTTTTTGGTTTTTCGAGACAGGGTTTCTCTGTGTAGCTTTGTGCCTTTCCTGGAACTCACTTGGTAGACCAGGCTGGCCTCGAACTCACAGAGATCCGCCTGCCTCTGCCTCCTGAGTGCTGGGATTAAAGGTGTGTGCCACCACAGCCCGGCACAAACTCTTTTCAATATAAGATTTTAAGAAATGAAACATCTGTTCAATTTTCTGTAAACCTAAAATCGCTCTAAAATATTCTATTTTTTATCTTAATTAACATTCATATAGTAGTGTTTATCATTATGTATGCTTTGGGAAATTAAATGGAAATACTATATTATATAATATTCTCAATACTGCTAGTTACTAAAAATAAGCATAATTTTCTCAAATTATTATTACTATACAAGAAATGCTTCTACAATTATCAGTTTCCATCTGACAAAAGTAAAAGTTAAATCAACTAAAACATCAAAACAAAACAAATTTCTATTCTTTGCTATATTGAAGTCCCTGGCTTTTGCTGTATTAAACTTAGTTATAAACTATATACACTCACACACACACAAAAATAAAACCCACAAGTTTTACAAGTTCTACATAGCAGAAAAGCAAGCTGTTAAAAGGAGAGCTAGATAAAAGCACTCTCACAGAATCTGACAGCCTGAGTTTACTCCCTGGAGCCCACATGGTATGAGAGAGCTAACTCCACCAAGTTGTCTATGACCTCTACTCACACATGCGCATACACAAATGCAGAAGAAAAACTATCTGCTAGAGCCATGCTTCTCAACCTTCCTACACTGCGACCCTTTAATACAGTTCCTCATGTTGTGGTGATCCCAATCATAACATTATTTTCGTTTCTACTTCATAACTGTAATTTTGCTGTTATAAATCATAATGTAAATAATTTGATATGTGACCCCCAACAGGGTCATGACTCCCAGGTTGAGAACTGCTGTACTATAGGGATGCTCTTTTTCTTTTTGGTTTTGGTTTTTTCCAAGACAGCGTTTTCACTGTGTAACCTGGCTGTCCTGGAACTTACTCTGTAGACCAGGCTGGCCTTGAACTTACGAGATCCATCTGCCTCTACCTCCCGAGTGCTGGGATCAAGGTGTGTGCCACCACCACCTAACTGCTTTTTTTATTTTTAAGAGGGGTTGTTTTTCGTGTATGTGTGGGGGGGGGAGGTTAGGGGGGGTGTGGGTGGGTGTGGATGTGAGTGTGGATGTGAGTGTGGATGTGGGTGTGTGTATTTACTATTATAACACCTCACCTGATGTCCTGTTTGCCACTCTTGTGGCTTTAATACATCAGAATGCCAGGCCTAATGATGACAAAATAAGGCAAAAGTATTCTGCAAGTCTCCTTCAGTTCAATTCAATGAAAGCAGCAGCTAGTCTAGAGAATCAATACCAAACCAATGGAAACAAAAAATACCCCTAAACTACTCTTGCTTCTTGAGCTGGATTTTAGGCACCCCAGACTGGCATACTGGAATCCACATTCTAATTTTCATGTGTGAAAATGGAATTACTGCAAAGCAGTCAATAATGTGTTTCAAGATACCTTTCACACACACTGACAGCCCAGCACTGATTCACTGCTGCCATTCAGCAGCTAGTAACTAAGAGCTTGCTCTAGAGAATAAGCTAACAAACCCATGACCCTGGCCTGTCAGCACAATGCTAATCAACCACCAATATAGCTATAGCTAATTAAGAAGTGCTTCAATTTACTCAGAGACCACTTAACACACAACAGGCATTATACTAAATGTTTGCTATACATTGTCACTTACGCTTCACAAAACCCTTTAAAGGGAGTACTACTGCTTTTATACGAATGTGCAAATTTTGTGTCCTGAATCTTTCAATACTGGCTGAAAGATGATGAGCAAAGACTGGTTTGCAGTTATACATTTTTGATTCCTTTGGGCTAAGAAAGGGACAGTGGAGTGTTGGGAAGAGGGCTGTTGTAGTGGGTAGCTGTTCCAGCTTTGACCTGGAAGTACTACCCCTAGTGAGGCTTCTGGTAACTGCTGTGCCTACCTATGACGTGCCCCTGGGGCGGGGCTGAGACAGGAGCCCTTAAGACCTGAGATCCGGATGTGCTGGCTCTCATGGTTCCTGGTGATCCTGGATGCTGGATGGTAGACCAAGCGGAGTCTCCAGAGAACCCAGCTGGGCTGCACCTCACCTCTCCCAGATCCTGTAACCAACCCTTTTACTGGCTGTAAGTTACCCCAAAATAAACCTCCTTTTTAACTACGTGGAGTTGCCTTAATAATTTCCCCCAATAGGCTGTTAATATTTTAGAGTAAGGAATGGTATAAAGAAAGCCAGGTGCATGTGTGCTTGTGAGGGGCCTGGACAGATGACAGGACACAACGTTGACAACAGGACAACAGCAGTGTAACAGGCAATCCTCACGACCACCCTGCTACACAAATATGGGTTATTTAGCAGAGGACAGGAAGCAAAGCGAGCTTTTAAGATCACTGTTTGGATAAGAGTGACAGCCCCCTCCTGAGCCTCCACGCAAGGCTTCCAGGTGGACTGCCTGGACTGGTAAGTTTGCTCTCCTACTGATGTAGCTGCTGTGTACTATTTGACTTGGGAGCGGCTGGGTACTATTTCTCTGCTTTAGTTTCTTCATTTATAGGTGGAAGCTAAATGGTACCAAGAAGATAAAGTGAGTAATACCAATAAAATGTCTAAAACATCAATTAGGGAATTGAGGAAGGTGGTTCACCCTTGTAATCTCAGAACCTGGGAGGGCAAAACAGAAGCTTCTAAGTTCAAGACCAACCCAAGCTACATTATGAGTTTGAGGCTGGCCTGGGTTACACAGCAAGTCCCTGTCTCAAAATAAATAAAATGAAAACACCTTTAAAAAGCATATCAATTCACAAGAACTCTCAATAAGCATTATTTATAATATACCTATTAGCCACTCAGCCCAGAAGTGCAGAACTAAAGAGACAATCAAACCAGTTTCCTGAAGAGTCCGAGAGCTGGCTCAGCAGTTGAGAGGACTTGCACTTGCAGCTCCTGCAGGTTCACTGCCAGCACCCACATGGCAGCTCACAGCTAGCCCTAACTCCACTTCTGGGGATCCAAGCCCTCTTCTGGCCTTCATGGTACCAGACATGCACACAGTATACATACATACATCCATGTAGGTAAAGCACTCATACACAAAAATAAACAAAAACAGTTTCACAAGAAGTCCCAAAAACTAGAAACTGCATTTGCTAAAAACAGAAAAAAGGCAACTACAGAATTACCAGAGTCCTACAGAAATGAAACCATATCCAGATAAATTCTGTGATCTTAGCAACTCTGAGATCAGGATGTTTGTTTTTAATTCCAGCACTTCACATTATTTCTTAAGGTGGTTAAAAATGGACATATCAGGTCAATGTTTTTACCTCACACAATGTCTACTTTGCTGATGTCTAATATCACAACTCTTATACCTCCACAATCAAACATACTGAATTTAAAGAAAGCCCTGGGAAAACATTAACAGAGTAAAACAAAAGCTAAAACCTGTGATGTACGTGTCTTTGCCAGAGGGGAGGTGCATGCTTCTTGAAACTGATCTTCATTAATTCCAATTTCTTTAAGGTAACTTTCTAACAGCTTTTCAACCTAAAAAGAAAAGGTTTAACTTTTATAATTTACATAGGAAAAATCCAAATGACATTCCACCTGTTTAGAATGCTCTTTGTAATTAACATAAGCACTATTATATAAGACATGGAAGTAATGTCTTTCACCAATAAACTAACAACAAAAATGTTTTTTCTGGCCAAGAATCATATGAAGTTTAATTTCCTCCACTAGAGGTAGACCAAGCTTACGAGGGTGAGTAAGCATGGTACAGCTCCTCTACCTACTGCCTTTTTAAAATACTCAGAGGCTCCTATAAGCAGGCAAAGCACAAGCACTTGCCTAGAGGCAACAGCTCAAGAAGAATTGAATTTACAAATGAAAGATCCCCATAGCTACAATAAATCATTACTTAGAGTCTAAAACAGAAAAAATACAAAAATCATTTGAAAAGATGCTCAGAAGAGTTATGAGCCTGAGAACAGTGAGAGCTGCTGGAGCAGGATGAACTGTGATGCTCAAGAACTGTAATGGAGGCTGCACAGGTGGTTTGGCAGATAAGAGCACCTGTTGACATGCAGAAGACCCAGGTTCGATTACCAGCACCCACATGGTGGTTCACAACCATCTGTAACTCCAGTTACAAGGAACCCAACCCCCCTCTTTTGACCTCTGTGGCTACAGACACATATATGGTGCACATGCATGCAGGCAAAACACCCATATACATAAAGTAAATAAATCTTAAAAAATAATTTTAAATAATTTTAATTTTAAAAAGCATTTTTTTTTCATTTAAAAAGACAGGTGTTACAAAATGCCTCTTAAAATCATAAAAAAAAAAAAAAAAAGCCAGCCATTTAGTCCTAGCACTGGGGAGGCAGAGGCACATAAATCTCTGGGAGATCAAGGCCAACATGGTTTACACAGTGAGTTCCAGGCCAGCCAAGGCTGCATAGTGAGACCCCTATCTCAAACAAAACAAAACAAAAATCAATGGGAAAATACTCACTAGCTCTTTGTACTCCTGATGAATTTCTGTATAGGTCAATTTGCTTTCTTCTTCATCATCAAAAACTAAATTTATAAGAGAATAGGACAGTGTAAAAAAACAAATTATTTCATTAAGTACAAATATACAAATGAACTTGCAGAAGCCTGTTCTTCCTTTCCACCATGTGGGTTGTGGGATCAGACTCAGGAGCCATCTCCCCAGCTCCTTATTTTTAACATTTATGTACTTGCACTTGCCACTTTCTATTTTACTGTTTACACATGTGTCTTCTCTTGCTAGACTATAAACTTCTCAAACATAGGATTTCTATCCCCAGTTTCTGGTCCAAGGTAACTCAAAAAATAATGAAATGTTGATACCGCAAAGCTGTCTACATTAGTCTTCAGATTATCTGAAGTAGAGAACAGCACATTGACAGCCCCACCTCAGTGAAGTACGAACGGTTATCCAGAGTGTTCCTGACATTACTTCTCTTGAGTCTGCACTTGTTCTGTACGACACTACACACACATTCAATACAAACGCTACTTAAACTCTTTTCGGACAGTTCTGAAACCACATCACTGCAGCATGTCTGCAAGCCTAGCTTTGTTTCTCTGTAAAAACGTAGGTACCATCAGCCGGGCGGTGGTGGCGCACACCGTTAATCCTAGCACTTGGGAGGCAGAGACAAGCTGATCTCTGTGAGTTCGAGGCCAGCCTGGACTACAGAGCAAGTTCCAGGATAGGCCCCAAAGCTACACAAAGAAACCCTGTCTCGAAAAAAACAATCAAAAAGTACCATCATCTGTTACTATGAAGACACACCCACTAGACACCTGTGGAAAGAAAATATCCCCCCCCGCCCCCTTTCCGTTCAGCATTCAGTCCGTAAATTAAATCAATGGGTGAAATAATCTCTCCTAAAGGAGGTCAGGCTTCATCAATCTTTTAACAGCATTTTAAATTCTTCAGAGGGACACAGGTAAATTACTTTGCTATTTGAACCTCCTTAAAACTTACCTGCAAATACACTTAACTGGTGTATTTTAACAGTTATAATAAAATAAAAGGTTCAGTGGTCAAACAAAATTCTTTCTTTACTAGATCCATGGTATCTCAGGGTCGAAATAAGTCTTGCAAGACAATTCAGGAGTAAGAACCCTCTGTTAGCTGAATCTCTGCCAAATGTACTCAGATACTGCGAATGCCTGGGAACCCATTACCTTTTCTGTCTGGCCAACTCATCCTGGAATAGTATATAAAACATTTCTTTGACTGAAATGTGTTTGCCTGCAGCTTACACTTACCCCAGTTCTACCGCACTGATCTTTACAGATAAGACTAATCCCTCTAACCTACGGCACAAGTTGAGAGGATTGATGGATATTGCTACCCTCCAAGTATTGCCTAGGTAAATAACCACGATAAAGATTGGATGTGACGTCGTTTGTGGTCCTTTTCTATGAGTAGAGTTCATTTTGTCTTTATGATATGAACTCGGATATGAAACGATCAGAAAGCGGTGCTGCAGATCCTTTGAAAGTATTCCACATTTGTATGCCTGCCTCGTTTGTTAGAAAGGTCTTCCTCTCATCGCCTGCTTCGGTCCTGCAGGAGGAATCGCATGCCCTCCTTTGCAGATGAAACGGCCGGAGTGAATTTAGTTTTCATTTGGGAGACATCCCAGGGGTCAAAAGGAGCTCGAGGAAAAACGACGCTTCTCCCAAATAACTGGGGAAGATGCTGGTTACCCAAACAGTCCACTTAGGAACGTGTGGGATGAAGTGGCAGGCCCAACATGGTATTAAAGTCTAATGTGTTCGGGACGTGTGCTCAGGCCTGAGTGGGTGGCAGGTATTGGTGCCCACTCTCAGGTCTGCAAAGTAACTCCCATCATGCAATTCCTTCTACAAAATTAACCCTAGGCCCCGGCGGGCAGAGACAGCGGGTGACATTCGGCTTGTTCAGGGTCTGGTTTTTACCTTCGCATTTCTGCTCTACAAAGTCCAAGATGGGGATGGACCAATCCGGGCCCCGCAGGAACCCAGCGATGCTCTCCACCACCCATTCCACCTCGTCCTCTTCTTCCGCAGCCATCCCGCCCGTACCGGGCGACGCGGATGCCTAGGCCAGACTCCCCGGCCTGCTCGGGCCTTTCGGCCGCAGGAAGCCGACGGAGAATGCGGGCAGCGCGGCCCCGGCAGTCGCCAGGCCCCCTGGTTAGACACTACAAACCAGTAAACGTAAAATGGTCGCTATGACAACCTACGCAGCGGCCCGGAAGTGAAGCCGTCCCCGCCTACGTGCCTGGAGGGGGCGGGGTTAGGAGCGTTCCTATTGGCTGGAAGAGACCGGTAGCGGCGCCAACGATAGCCCTCCGCTCATTGGCCCGCAGTTGCTAGGCTGAGAGCAGAAGGGAGGGCATTGGCTACAGAGCCTGGGATCGGCATTCGCCTTCCCAGTGCGCCGCTCGGGAATGGGCGTAGCTCCCCAGGACGACCTCATCCCAGCTCATCCCTAAGCGTTTTCAGATCCTCTGGCCCAGAAGCCTATGTACCTGAAGGATGATTTGAAAATACAAAGCTGAGCAAAGCTCCATGAGGTTTACTGATTAAGTCTGCAGCCCGTTCGCCTGGTGTAGTTCTAAGGATGAGTCTTTAACTCCTGATCTTAGGTGACGATAGCTAAGTTTATGGCAAGGACACAATCAAAGTTAATCTTCATTTAAATAGGCCTTCATAACCAGTTTTTAAAAAGAGTCATGACATTAGGGCCAGAGGACTCCCAATCACACAAAAATCTTATAACTAGGTGTGGCCTACACCTTTAATCCCAATACTCTTGATAGGCAAAAGTAAGTGGGTATCTGTGGGTTCCAGGCCAGCCAAGGCTAACCTGTCTCATAAATAAATAATAACTCTTGACATCAAATTCAGTCAAAAGCCCTGGCTCCTGAACATGAGAAAGAGCCCCCCTCCCACCCTCCCCTTTGAGGTCTAGAGAAGCACAGTTGCATTCTTCTAGTGAGAAGTCTCTGCCCTCGGCATAGAAATACACTAGTTTACTTCTCCCATATCCCTCTGAGAGTGGTGAGGAGCTGAGAGAGCAGAGAATACAATCTGCAGTTTCATCATAGTGGGAGTGGAGGAGTCGTAGCCAGAACCAGAAGTGTGGTTGGTCAACAGCAAAGGACCAGGTCAAGCTGGGGGCAGGAGCTCATGATGGAAGACCCAGGAGGAACCAAGTGGGTGGGTATTAGGGACAGCCAGAGGATCCTGAGGATCACTCCCAATATATTCAAAGATGATAGAGGGCCCAACTGTCAAGGTAGCAATTGGTATGTTAATCATTTAGTTCACCCTTTCTCCTGTCCAAAAATTCAGTTATAGACCAGGAGGTCGTATCTGTGGGGATTTTTCTTGTTGCCCTGTCTTACAGCCATGTAGCTGTGGAGGTTAAAGAGAGGTCTTTATCTCAACCAACCATAATTTGGTAATAAGGTTATCACCTAGTGTTGACATTTAGGCATCTGTACTGGCCTGCTGTTAGGGTCCTGACAGGATATACCTCAGCTGCAGCCACTAAGAGCACCTCCTATGTGTAAGGATTCTGTCCTTAATTACGCCATCAGCCTTAACGGGCGTCCCAGCCTAAAAAGCAGGTGGGCCCTCTGTGCGCCCTTCCTTCCTCTCCTTTCCACTCCTTCCTTCTGGACCTCCTTCTCTTTCCTCTCTCTGTCTCTGTCCCCCCCCCCCACTCCCAATAAAGCTCTAAAAAGGTAACCATGGCTGTGATTCCTCCTCCGGCATTCTCCTCCGTCAGCATGACTGCCGCGGTGCCAGCCAAGAGCAGCAGCGCCATTTAACCAACACTATGTGCATTTGCTACATTTCCTTATAAAAAGTGGGCCTTGTATACCTCCTGTCTCTCTCTCTCTTTCTTTTCCTTCACTCTCATCCCCAGGGACCAGTCTCTGCCCCCTTTTCTGCCCTTTCCCCTCCCCTCAATAAACTGTTGTACCCATTTCACAAAACCCCTTGAGACCACCAAAGAGCCAGTTTCCCATGCAAGCACATAAGGGTCCTTTTATTGTCAGGTTCAAACCTGGGCCACCACACAGCAGATGAGGAAAATGTGGCAGTGGCGGCAGGCCCAGGAGTAGAGAGTTTTTACACAAGCCGGGAATTACATGCTTCAGCAACTTGGGATTGGGTAGAAGGGATATGGGGCAAGGTGATTTTTTGAAACTATTGGTCTAGACTTTGGGCGCAAAACCACATTTGAAACCATTGGGTTGGACTTTTTGGTGGGGAACCACAACTTGATATCCATGACCAGTATTATTACTGTAGGCCATGCTGATGTCTGTGGGCCAGGTTCATTTCTATGGCCCATGTTGCCACAGAGGGCCATATAGATAGATGTACATGGTCTATGTCATATTCTGAAACCATGTTGATATTCGTGGTCCGTGCTGCCACCAAGGGCCATGTTGACATGAGTGGCCTATGCAATCACCTGAGGCCATGTATGTCCATGGTCCATGCTGCCACTAAGGGCCATGTCTGGGTCCGTGGTCCTTCTGCAGCTGGGGGCTGGATTCATGTCTGTGACTCATGTTACCACCAGATACCATCCAGATGTCCATGGTCTGCTGCTGAGGGCCATGCAGATGTCCATGGTCAATGCTACTACAAGAGGCCATGTTGGGGGTCTGTGGTGATTTGAAAGAAAATGGCCCACAAATGGAGTGGCACTATTAGGAGGTGTGGCCTTATTGGAGGAAGTGTGTCAATATGGGGCTGGCTTCGAGATCTCTTTTCTCGAGCTTCTCTCAGTGTGACTGTCAGTCAACTTCCTGTTGCCTGCACCACGTCTGCCTGCATGCCGCCATGCTCCCCACCATGATTATAACGACTGAACTCTGAAACTGTAAGCAAGCCACCTCAATTAAATGTTTTCTTTATAAGAATTGCTGTGGTCATGGTGTTTCCTCACAATAGAAAACCCTAACTAAGACCAGGTCCATGGTCCTGCTGTAGATAGAGGTTGTGTTGATGTCTGTGGCACATATTACCACCAAAGGCCACGTGGATGTCTGGTCTGTGCTACCACCTGAAGCCATATTGATGGCCATGGGCCACATAGAAGATTGTTTTGTTGTTTTTGTATTTGTTTTGGATTTTTGAGGCAGAGTTTCTCTGTGTAGCCCTGGCTGTCCTGGAACTTACTCTGTAGATGAAGTTGGCCTCAAATTCACAGAGATCTGCCTGCCTCTGCCTCCCTAGTGCTGGATCAAAGGCATGAGCCACCATTCCCAGTTTGAGGTCTTAACTCTAAAACTGAACTTGGGAATCCAAGTTCTGAAAATCCCTGCTATGTTCAGGAAGACTTTCTGTTATCACTGTGTATCCAGAGTTAAAATGAGATTATCACAGTGACCAGAGAAGCTCTTTGTGTCTGGAGTTAGTCTGAGCCTCAAAAGCCCTACATTTTGTAGGGAGATTTGGGTCTCTGAAGAAAAAAAAAATATCTTCACAAGACTGGCTTTTGGAGAATCAGATCTAAAGTGAATTTTTTGTCTTGTATATTAATGTTACCTATCTCCTGAATGAGGCAGTTTCCAGAGAGAAACTTCAGAAGTGGCCTACCCCCAAAGACCAGAGGAAAGATAGTCCAGATGAGTAACTTAGGTGGAGGTTCCTGTCATTCAAAGACAAATAAGGACCAATAATCTGGGTGGACTAGAATACAATGGGTGTTTCAGCCCGTGCCTTTAATCCCAGCATTTGAGAAACAGTAGCAGGTAGATTTCTCTGAGTTCAAGACCAGCCTGGTCTACATAGTGAGTTACAGGACAGCCAGAACTACTTAGTGAGACCTTGTCTCAAAAAAATCAAAACAAGGAAAAAAAGAATATGAAATAAATTGTCCTTAGTGTCTAACACTGTGAACCAGGAGGTACTGGAGGAATCTGTCTCAAGAGAATGTAAGGACTGGCAAATTTAATAGTTATTTTTCTAATTCTCATTATTGTGACTAAATATCTGATAAGAAGAGCCTCAGGGAGGAATGGTCTCTGTTGCTTTCAGCTCAAGGAAACACAGCCCACTCTGACTGCAGAAGGGTGGTGGAGACAGTCACATTGTCTCCAAAGTCAGTAGGTAGATAAGTGATGGTGCCCAGTTAGCATTCTCCTTTTTATTCAGTCAAAGACCCAGACCATCAATGGTGCCACCCACACTTAGGGTGGGGCTTCCCCCTCAGCTAGCCCTGTCAACAAATTCCCCTCACAGGCATGCACAGGGCTTTGTCTCCTGGGTGATTCCACATCCTCTCAACTTAACCATACAATTCATAGGGTGAATTGGGACCACAGCCTCATTCATGACCTTCAGATACCAGACCATTCTGTAGAAGGCATCTGACCTCTTTACGCCAAATAGGGATGCTACATAGAGAGTTTGCCAATGATACAGGTTGTAAGCTTTTTTTGTGTTTCAGGACCTTTGAAGAATGTTGTTGGGGTCTTTAAGGACAACTGTAATATGAGTGACCATTAGTGAATTTCTCGCAATGGATGTATTCCAGGTTCTGGCAGAGGGTGGGGGCTTGTCAGGTGATGTAAGAGTCTATAGTAGAGAGATAGTAAGGACATCTGAGGTCCGAGACAGCCCAGGCCACTATAGAACAGAGCACAAGAATACTATAAAAAGCTTCTGGAGTCAGCTGGGCCTGGTGGTGGTGCACAGCTTTACTCCCAGAACTCGGGAGGCAAAGGCAGGGTGATCTCTGAGTTCAAGGCCTGTCTGGTCTACAGAGAAAGTTCCAGGACAGCCAGGGCTACACAGAGAAACCCTGTGTGGTAATATTTTATCTGTGTATCCCAATAAAGTTTATCCGAGGATCAGAGGAAAAAGCCAGCCACTATAGTAAACTTAAAAGTCAGGCAATGGCAGCACATGCCTTTAATCCTGGCATTCAGGAGGCCGAGATTCATCTGGATCTCTGTGAGTTCAAGGCCACACTGGGAAAAGAGCCACAAACTAACTATGGAGGTCTGGAGGTCTGTACAGACAGATAGGAAGTGACAGAGCTGGGCAGAAAGAGGAAGTGATATAGCTGGGTGGAGAGAGGAAGTGAGAAGGCAGGCACAGAAAGGACATAGGCATGAGTAAACAGGAAGTAGCTCTTTTTGGAGGCTGAGGAGTTGGTGAGGTGAGGTTGGCTGTGGCTTGTCCTTTTCCTCTGATCTCTCAGTTTTTA